GACGAAGTTTTGGCGCCGGAGGGCCGGCGGTGTCGTGGGCGGAAGAGGTGGCTGCACTGCGCAGCAGACCACGCGGCCGAGGGACCCGCGCATCAAACAAACAAAACAAACAAAATAAGGAAGAAAATAGCATAAAAAAAAGGGGGGGGGCGGCGTGAAAGGCGGCAAGCTGCGAGCCGGTGGCTGAAAAGAAGAGGAGGAAAGGGGAAAAAAAGTAAAGGCAACGGGGAGCCGGTGGCACGGCGGCGACGGTGCGTTCGCCCCCTACGGTTTTCCCTTCACCCACGCCACGCGGCGCGGCAAGCCGCTGAGGAACGTGCAGTCGTGGGATGACCCTGCGAGCATGCAGCGCCCCTCGACGCGCGGGTCCGCGAAGGCCGCCCACTTCCCAAAGCGGCTCCCATCAGCGGCGGCGAGGACGGCGTCGCCGGTCGTAGCGGCGGCAACGACCGCGTCTTCAATCCGCCCCAGCATGTCGCTCTCGTTGCTGGGGGACCGCGACGGCGACGACGTGCCTCCCCTGCGCTACCGCACCGACCTCGACAAGCACGTGATCCACTTTGCCTTTCAACGCTTTCCGCACAGCATCGAGATTGTGGAGGACGAGGACGCGATGTCCGTCGACTGGCACTTCTTCTGGATGACGGTGGGGCGCGTGCGCACAATTTTCTCCACCGCGGAGTACCGCCTGTCGGAGACGCAGATCATCAACCACTTTCCGAACCACTACGAACTGACGCGGAAGGACTTGATGTACAAAAACATCAAGAAATACATTAGAGACCCCAGCAACGCTCACCTGGCGGTGCGGTACACGCCGCCCTGCTGGACGCCGTACGAGTGGGCGGAGCGTCTGCCGAATTTGCTGCACTTCGCGGACTGCGTACCGGTGACGTACAACATCCCGAACGACCTGCACATGCTGAAGGAGGAGTTTAGGCGGCAGCCTGGCAGCACGTGGATTGTGAAGCCCACCTCCCTCTCGCAGGGCCGCGGCATCTTTCTTATCAACCGCGTTGTGCAGCTAACGAGGTGGCTTAAGGAGCGGAAGGAAATGGACGAGGCGGATGGGTATCCACCGACCGCGTACGTCGTCTCCAAGTACGTCGCCAATCCACTTCTGATTGGTGGGAGGAAGTTTGACCTGCGTCTCTACGTGCTTGTGACCTCCTTTAAGCCACTGGTGGCCTACCTGCATGAGCAGGGCTTTGCCCGCTTTTGCGCCGCGCCCTACGTGGCCAACGCCCTCAAGGACGATAACCTCTGCTCGCACCTTACGAACGTGGCGCTGCAGAAGGGCGAAGAGACGTACAACGAGATGCATGGCGGGAAGTGGTCGCTGGCGAACTTGTGCCTTTTTGTGCAGGGGCGGTACGGGGCGGTGTGCGCAGATGGGCTGATGCGGAGCATTGAGTTCATCATCTACCACAGCCTCAGGGCGATGGAGTCCGTGATGTTCAACGACCGGCACTGCTTTGAGCTCTACGGCTACGACATCCTCATCGACGACTGCCTGCGGCCACACCTGATCGAAGTGAACTCCTCCCCGTCGCTCTCGACCACGACGCTCTCGGACCGGCTGCTGAAGGAGGACGTGCTGGCGGATGTGTTGAGCATCATCTTCCCGCCGTACTTCCCAAGCCCGCGGGCGATGCCGTACTGGGAGCACCGCCTGCGGACGGATTTGACGACGGCGGTGCAGACCGGATTTCGGCTGTTGCACGTGGAGGCGTGAGACGTCGCGGTGGGAGCCGCCCGGCCGCCCGTGCCGCACGCCGACCGGCAGGGATGGAGAGGCAGAGCGGCAGGATGAAGAAGGGCAAAAAAAAAAAATGAATAATAATCAAAGCAAGAAGGAGGGAGTGAGTGGGCGAGTAAGTGAGAGGGAGGCGGCCCGCGTCTCGCGGCTCGTTCTGCTGCAGTCCGCCCACAATGGGTCCGTCGTGTACGCGGCGTTTTGTTCACATCGTCTGCTGTTCGCGAACAGCAAACACGAAGCACGCAGGCGTGGGTGTAACT